ACGATATTAACGTTAGGAACTTGTATTGCTTATACGTAGTCGTCTAGAATGGCGTGCACCAAAAATATTGGATAACGAACATGTATGTGCCGTAACTTTGACGTAATTATATTAATTAATTATAAAAAGTTAGGCACGTTACGGTAAAATTACGCATCATTGGGACGAGTTATTTAACTTTGTTTTAAAGATTATCAGTGAACGAAGAAAAGAAATCGAAAATTCGTTGATTAGTAAAGATGGAAAAGCTGAAAAAATGAATGATATGCTTTCGATGATGATAAAGTCTAATACATCTTTGAATACCAATAATTCGACTGATGATACGAATTCGGAATTAAAACGATCAATGACTGATCGTGAAATCCTTGGAAACGTATTGGATTCCTTGTTTGGTGGAATTGCTACGGTAATATAAATTTTTAATTTTATAATCAATCAGTAATGTTTGTAATGTTAGTGATGCTTAATAATATCAAATTTATTGAACTATAGACGGGAAGTAGATTTATTCATATGGTTAATATCTTAGCAAAAAATCCAAATGTAATTCATCGATTTCGTCAAGAACTTGATTCAGTATTTGGCGATGACCTTGAACGCCCAATCACAACCCATGATCTTTCAAAGCTTAAATATGGCGAGGCAATACTCAATGAAGTTTTTAGATTTGATCCTATACTTAAAATGGGTGCACGAGTAAATACTGAGCGTGAAGAAGTTGCCGGACATATGTGGCCCGAGGGCACCGCATTTCATATAAATATCGAGAGGATACATCTTAATAAATCCCATTGGCAAAATCCTGAAGTGTTTGATCCTGATAGATTTATGAACAATGTCAACATATCAAAAAATACTTTGATTCAGTTTGGTGGTGGTGTGCGAATGTGTAAGTACTGAGTTTGCTTTTTAAAAGTCTTGTAAATCTTTGTCATATATATTGTCATATAACAATTTATGTCTAATAATTTGCATTGTCTATAGGTCCTGGAAGGAAATTTGCTTCTATTATTGTTAAAGGAATGATGACAATGTTATATAGAAAATATGACGTTGAATTAGTGCGTGAAAATGATACAACTTACTATAGAGATTATTTATTCGCTTATTATCATAATTTTAATACAAGACTCAGACTCAGAACTATTAAAGCTTCTTAAAATCTATATTGTCATATCAAATCTATATACGTTTTGTTATTGTTTAAATCATCTTTTATTTTATTTGATTATGTGGTAGTTCAGTCGTAATTTTTGTCATCCGATCATTTATATCATCTATTTTATTATTCGATGAATAGCATAGCAGCAGATCTTTTATTTTTCTAAATCATGTAACATCTGTTAAAAATACTAATTAAATTGATCATTCAGGTATCAGAAACAATTCTTATGGCATTTATGAATTCTGTGCCAGGCTCGTGGCATGCAGTTAATTATTTAATACTTATTGGCCTTAGTGTTTATATGTTAGCAATATATAGTAAAATCGTTTGAGATTTTTTTGTTAGAGCATTAAAGATGATTTTTTATGCAGATTTTTGAAAAATAAAGCAGATGTTAGTTTGAATCTTCCTGATCGTGTTTTATTTATTCTTGAAATCTGCTTTGCAGTTCAAGAAATTGCGTCACAAGTATGGCACAAAATTCAATGTATAAAGTGTGTCGGAATAGATACTACTCTAAACTACCAAAATGATATATCTAAACCCTTAATATTGGCAATCTTCGATTAAGACGTGAAAAGACTCGGGTCCGAGTAATTAGGGGTGTATAGAATTTGCTATGCTAATTTGGGTAATTTGGGTGTTACCTTTTAAGCATTATTCTTCTGTACTCTGGTTTTCTTGTACTAATACGTTATCTTATTTTCTTCTCTACAAGCACAAACAATTAAAATCAGCCTTATATAAAAATCTTATATATATGTAAATGGTTTTACTAAATCATACTAGAGGTATTAACACAGTTGCAATATCTTTTAAAACTTAGCTAATTAATTAATTAATACAAGTTAAATAATCAAAATCAATCTAGTAAATTTTACTAAATCATACTAGTTATATTAACTCAATAGCTTTATAAGTAAAAATTTATGGTTTAAAGTGAGATTTTGAAAAATATTAAATGTACTTAATTTATTTGGAGATCCAAAAATATTTAATTTAATAAAAAAATTTTTTAAATATAGCTAATATTTATTATATATATGTTTCTAATTTTTATATATATTAAAATAAACAAAAATAAAAATAATAGACAAAAATAAAAGTTTAAACTACTTTTTTTGTAATCTAAATCTATTAAAATAATTAAAAACTTATTTAAATTTAAATAGTTAAAATATAATTTAAAAATATATTATATTTTATCTAATTAGTATATTAAAAATCAATCTTTTACCCGTGGGTGCATCTATTTGCGCAACAGATTACGCAATGTTCATTGACGATCTAAGCATGCTTGACCAATCAAAATTAGCATACATGTAATTTTAGCTTTTTTTAAAAAAATTTGAACAAAGTTTTCTCAATAATTACCTGACCAAATTCAATGAAATTTTTTTTTCTGCGAATATGTAGGATTAAAAAAAAAATCGAATTTTATTAGGTAGTTATCGCGAAACTTTGCTTAATTTTAGAAAGAACTGATTCGTCTATCAGTAAAGTGTTTCTAAATTTTTTAAACTTTGAGAAAAGTTTTCTCGATAACTTCCTAACCAAATTGAATAAAATTTATTTCATTTTATTTCTTCACATTCATATAATTAAAATAAAAATTTTTTATCGAATCGGTCAGGAAAAAACTTTGCTCAAACTTTTAAGAATTCAACATCACTTAAATTACTAATGCGTGATTTTTCGTTTTGCATTAAATGTTATTCGAAATTTTGATCGGGGGCCAGAATTTTTTTTTTTGTTAATCAAAATTAATAGACTGAATTTTCGTGTAGCAAAGTTTTTAATTTCTAAGGCTTTCTTGAAAAAGCATTTACTTGTTCGGATGATTTCAAGTTCATTAACTTTTAAATCAGTAAAATCATAAGGCATTATAAAATTATATTGAATTTAAACCTATTGGTAACTTACCAAATATAAGAATGACTTGTAACTGTAATGGCAATGTACTAATCCGTTATTCATTTTAAAATTTGAAAATTAATGCGTATTAATAATAGACTTTCAAAACCTTTATTCCTTTCTGAAATAATTGATAAAAATCGGCAAAAATGAAAATACTAATAGGATATTTATCTTTATGTTAGAGATTTCTATCAGTATGAAACTAGAAAAAACATTCCTAGAATAGACCCAGGATTTACATATTTATCGTAAAACTAATTGAGAAAATTATTTGTGCATGATATCCAGTAAATTTGTAAACTTTTAGGTCTAATGCTAAGCTGAAACTGCTAATTAGAAGAGATAATCATATGGGCCGTGGAAAAGGGATGAAATTGTAAAAAAAATGATCTTAAAATCTTATAATAAATTATAAGAAAATACAAATTTTAAAGAGTTATACTGCAAAATTTTATTAATACAACTGCTTTTATGTCTTAAGTGAAAAATGATTCAATTTTATTTTAAATTAATTTATGTAAAAAAAAGTCTTTTGAAAAAATTGTCAATTTTGACCCTTTTCTCAGATCACGGCCCATTGTTGTTGATCAAACAAGCAAAAATGATCTATATTATGAGACAGAAACATGATTTTTTAGAGCAAAAAAAAATCTGGAAATAATTCGAATGATCATCCACAAAATGAAGAATAATTTAGTTATTCTTAAATACAGAAAAAAATTGTTGCACATTATTTTTCCAGATCTTCTTTGCATTCATTATAATATTGGGCATTATTATGTATTATTGATAGCTGAGTGCAATTTTCACATAAACACGATTATACAAAAATAGTGCCATTAGATTTTAATATGAATGATGAAAAATTAGAATTTTTTATTAAAATAATTAACAATATGAAGGGATTATTTAACGGTGTTAATGTGATAATAAATAATGATAATGCTGTAAAAATATGAGCCTGCATTTACTCTTATATCCTTTTATTATGAACTCTAACCTTAATATCTAATTTAACTCTAAACAAATAAATTCAAATTTCAGCATCATCAGATAATAATGCATTATATAAATTACAAATTTTATATATGCTACTATATTAGGTTCAACCAATCAGATTTTATAAAGGGTAATATCCCAAAATAGTTCGATATTGTACTATTTTTTTTGAATTAGAATCGAGTAATTCTTGTATATTTTTATATTTTGATTAAATAGCTATTGATTTTGTTTAAAAACAATTCGAGTTTTTGAAATTTTTGGGTTGGCAGATAATGAAAAATGAAATTAACTTTTGCCTAATAGGCGGGACAGATTTTTAATTTAAGCATGTTTTCTTGACAGCCACCTAACAAAATTTGATAAAATTATAATAATATATAGAATTAAAATAAAAAAATTTAAGTAATCTGATTAAAAGATTATTGAGAATACTTCTCTCAAAGTTTAAAGAAAAATTAGCTTACTAATAGAAGGTACAAATTCTTTCTAAAATTTAAGTAAAGTTTTTTGATAACTACCTAACCAAATTCGATGAATTATTTTTTGCTTTAATTCTACACATTCATAGAATTAAAATAAAAACAAATCATCGAAGTTAATCAGGTAACTATCGAGAAACTTTAAAGTTTTAAAAAAAATTTAGCTTAATTTCCTGATAGATGAACAAGTTATTTTTTTGAGCAAAGTTTTCTTGACAGCTACTTGCCCAAATTCAATATACTTTTTTATTTTAATTCTATGAATTTATAGAATTAAAATAAAACAAGCTTATCGAATTTAGTTAGATAGTGAGAATATGTTTTTTTCAATGTTTTAAAAAAAAATTTAAAAGCACTTAATTTACTGATAGACAGAACAGACTTTTCTAAACTTTTCTCGATAACCATCAGACAATATTTGATAAAAGTTTTTTTTATCTTAATTGTATGAATATGTAGAATTAAAATAAAAAAGTTTATAGAATTCTGTCAGATAGCTATTAAGAAAACTTTATTCAAAGTTTTATAAAAAATACAAAAATTGTTTACACGTATGTTGGCCAGTAATTCATTCTGATTGGTCAAACATGCTTAGAATATCAATAAATATTATGTAATTTGTTGCACAATAGGGTTGGGGCATGGGCACGAGGCACGAGACATGCCTTTTGGGCATGCCTCTATCATGTGATAATCAATATAAAATAACATGGTAATGTGACACACTGATTGGCTATTAACAAACATTAAGCCAAGAGCATACAACCGTTAGATCATATTAATATATAAATCTGAAATACTAATTAACAAGTAAACCTGGTTTTTAGTTTACATTGTTACAATTCTATTCGATACATTTATTACAGTACTTTACCAGGTGTTTGATAAGTTTCTGAACAGACCTTTTTTATATCTCCACTAGTATTAGTTTTTATTATACAAAAGTTATAATGATTACTAATTGTATTTTTTTTATATAGTATAGTAATTTATTTAGTGATCCTGTCAGGAACTTATCAAATACCTGGTATTTTACATTATCATTACTAGGGTTGTTAATTAGTCCTTAAAGACTAAATTCTTTGTGATCCTAAACAATTACAATATGGTCTGGTCCAGAGACCACAGCCCCAAGTGGTTCAGGACACCTCTATATATATAGTATTGAGTAACAGAATCAAATTTGTATCAAGCATAATGATATATATATTAAATTAAATTTAATTAATAGAAACTACAGCTTTATAGATGGTCCTTGTAGTGATCTATGGACTGCATCTCATTTACTCTCTAATTAAATATGAAAGTCCATAGGGCCAGACTAGACAAAATTGAAATTTTCATACTATACATGCATTGAAACATATACCTGACACTGACACTATTAACATATCTAATCGTAATTAAACATATTTATAAGGTGATATTTTATTGATCAATTGCATTGAAATAAAATTATTATTGCATATTAATACATATATATATGTACATTGTTTTTTGAATTTATACTATCTTTTTCTTTCTATTTTATATTATATATTCAATTACATATTATTCTATTGAATCAACCAGGGCGGCACTCAAAAATACAGGTCAT